AGAACATATGCAAGATCTAAAGGAAAGTCACCTGCTACTCCCGCTCCTACAACTTCAAGAGTTCGAAAATCAGTGCAAGTTGTGGTTAGTGATGATGATGATGACACCGAAGAAGAAGAAGAATTGGAAAAGGAAGATTGTGAGGACGTCCAAGATGAAGAGAATTTAGATTTAGATGAGGATGATGAGCTTTGATTACTTATATTTACTGTTTATTCTATTTCAGACTCTACAATTTCTTAATGTTACTTGTCTTTATTTGGAACTAAACTTATAGAATTTGGTTGTTTTATGCATCTTGTTGACATTTACTATTTTGGTATTGATTTTTTTAAGGTAATTTATGCACTATATATATAATTTTTACTTATTTATCAAGGTGCGCCTCGCTTCAATCGGGCGTCGCCTTTGTATCGCCTCTCGCCTCAAGGCGATCAAAGGACTCGTCGCCTTGCGGTGCGCCTTGCGCCTCGAAAACACTGAATTTTAGTAATAATTCTGTTTTCTTGCAATATTCTTTTATACACAAATTCTCTCTTTTTTTCTTTGAATATCTTATATCTCTACTTTTTCTTTATTATTTAAGTCAATTTTTATTTAAATATCAAATAGTTTTTTAATATTTAATATAAAAAATTAATATATTCCCAACGTTTTGTGTCCTACTATTTTGAAAATTGACGTGTCGCTGTGTCTGCGTGTCTGTGCTTCTTAGCAAGAAACTATTTCCTTTTGCAATCTTACCAATTCTAGATTTAGCGGCTCAATCCATCTTTCTAAGACAATATAAGAATCGGAAGGATCTCCAATAGATGAGCATGAGGAAGGGGGATGAGAGGTCATCACAATTGACAAGAACTCTAAAGAAAAAGCTCCCCAGAAAAAGTTCCCAGTTTACAAAAAGGATATTCAATTGAAATTAGTTACAAATTGGGTCTAGCTTTCTTCGCCATCTCCATCCAATCTCTCTGGTCTTTCTTTAAATATCCTGTGATATCTTTCCAACTCACAAGACCGCCTTTGTTTGGTTAATCCATACTATCGTTGTTTTTCAATTGAAGCGATTCCAACAAAACAGTCGCTATGTATAACTGAGGCATGACATACCTGTTCGGGAATACTGTCAAAGTGGGAGAGTAGTAGGTTGGAAAGATTACTCAAGAAACATGTTTTATGGCCATCTCCTAAATGCAATAATTAAAATAACCGTGTCAACAAAAGAAGAATAACTTATTCATTTGGCCGAGGGTCTTGTCAAGTTCTATCTGGTTTTGCAGGGGATGGATCACTGAACTGGGCAGGCTTTTAAATGCTTACACTGTTACTATCTCAGCAACTTACATTTTGGTTTAGTTGTACTTCTTTGCTATTTATTCCTGCAATTAATGCTGTCAGAGTAGTGGGGGAGTGTTAATGAAATGTTATGGGCAGGAAGTGGATCCATGTGAGGACTTGACTGATGATGACATCCGAACTGCCATCCAGAACGCAACTGGTCCTAAATCTGCTTTATTTGTTCCTGAAGTAGGTTATGTTATATTCTTTTTCCATTTTTATATTGCCCATAATTATTGTTTAACTGTCTATTCTTTTAAATCTAGATTAAGAACTCATCATTTTATACATATTTTCAAGCTCTTCCTACTTTAGGTGCAAGTTCCTTATTTTTCCCTCAATAAGGTGTGGTTCCTTTTCATTGAAAATATGACTACAAAAGAGGGGACACCAACGCCCTTTTAATCAAATCAACTAGCTAAAAGGAGTGCTAATTCAACTTTAATGCAATAAATTACAATTACAAAAGAATTTTGAGATAGTACACCTTGAGGCTGCAAATCTCATTATGTCTCAGACTTCTCTTCATTCTCTGGAGACATTGTGAAATTTCAATGGTCAATAGAACTTAGCCATAACATATTATGGGGAAGGGTCATCCTATTTTGACGTCGATCTGATAATTCAATGTGTAGGTTCCTTTTGAAGTTCTTATTCGCAAGCAAATATTTCGCTTATTAGATCCAAGCCTTCAGTGTGCAAGGTTCATATATGATGAACTAGTAAAGGTAGGATTTATTATTTTATTATTCCTTTTGCTGTGTTTTGTGCATACTTATCCTACTGCTTCCTTATAGTTTCCTAATATTGGTTGTTTACTATTCAGATTAGCCATCATTGTGTGGTAAATGAGCTACAGAGGTTTCCTGTTTTAAGAAAGCGCATGGATGAAGTTATGAGCAATTTTTTGCGAGAGGGTCTCGAACCCTCAGAGACTATGATTGGGCATATTATTTATATGGAGGTATGTCATCTATGTTTGATTTTGTGGTGATACATTCACTAGCACGAAATCATATTGATGTTATTTTGGTTAACCACACAGGACAATGGTTAAATTGAACATTTTTGTTATTTGGAAAGTAAGGACTGGTATAATTATTGGTCCACTTTAACTATGGATTTTGTGTTCAAGTAACTTATTAGATAAAACTTTACCAACCACTATAGTTACACGGAATTATATACTAGAGGTAATTTCCGTATGTGAGGTAGTCACTCAAGTAGTTTCATGGATTCTTGGGCCACTTCAGGATTTTGTTTACTGCTTAAGAGTAAACTCCTACTCGGCTCTCTACCCACAAATTATTATCCATGAAAGTACAGTGAAATGTTCTCAAATCATTCTGTATTGATAATGAGAAATATGGTGGAGCTTATCCTCTTATTTTATTTTCCTATTTTTACATGATAGTGGAGATGACTTAAGCATCAAAGTTCTTATGTCCCTGAGGTGGATGCCATTTTCCTCAATGGACATGATTAAGATTTCTTGAACTGATCTTTTTATGTGAAAATGAATTTTGTTTTCTTTGGCCTTTCTGCATGAATATATAAGAATCTGTGTTAATTTTTATTTACCGGCTTGGCTCTTTATTCTTACAAAATGTTAGACCCGGAACATCTTATTGTACATGTATTGCAGATGGACTACATAAACACTTCACACCCTAATTTTCTTGGTGGGAGCAAGGCTGTTGAGATTGCATTGCAACAAGTCAAATCCTCTAGGGTTTCCCTGCCTATCTCCAGACAGAAGGTAAACGTGACAACCAGTTATCATTTTTTTCTTGATAAAGAAATGATATCTTTCAGAAGAACTTTACTTTAAAGGAATCTTTCTTTCTAATACATCTGGACAAGATTATTCTTATGTGCTTTCCGTCATAAATTGGAGAACTTATCGTTCATCAATAAAACGGAAAATGTTCAAGATATAAACTCCGTAAGAAACCAGATATGGAGGTGATTGATTCTTTGATAAGAGCTTTCCTGCTGGAGGTCTGAGCTTAATGAAGTTTTTTGTTTCTCAATGACATGTTCCAGATTGGTCACCTTTAGACTCTTTAATAGCTGGTGGATATCGTTGAGAAAGGAAAAACATAATTTCCTTCTTGATAGATGATGAAGGGATAGTGCAAAATGCCAGGCATAAGATGGTGGATTATATGTTATATTATTTCAACAAGCTTTACATCCAAACCACATATTCGTTACCCTAAAGTCCAGTGGAGCCCATTTATTCCACTTGGTGGATTATATTATATGAACCTGTCAAGGGTCTTGGAAAACTTAAAATCGCATGATCCAAATGCGATGATTGTTAAAGTTATGGGAAATGGTGGAACA